TTAGAGTATAGAGATTTGAATTCGAAGATATAGAAGACATGAAAAAAGTAATCAATGACTATTCGCCAGCTTACAAAGAAAAATTACTTGTCCCTCTGTACTTTGGTAAGAAAGGAGACAACTATCTTGAAATAATTGATCAACTAAAAATTAATAGTAATTAAAAACTAGTCGTGTTAAAATGGATAGATCAAGCTCATTGGGAGTCTGATATCTTTTATCAAGACAAGCATTTTTCCTCCAATTTAAATCTAGAAGAAGCAAGGTCTGAAATGATAGATGTTGAATAAATGCAATTCAGTATCTTTTTATGGTAAGATGGAGAATATGAAGATAAGGTAAAAAGGAAGATAGAATAAGATATTTATAGATACTTAAATTTAATACCAGATTGTGTGCAATTTTTATTACCACAACGCTTTTCAAGTGATACACTTTATATAACACAAAATATTAGTGATTGGTAATTAGAATTATAATAATTATTTAATCAATAAATATGATAAATCAATCTAAATGCTTGTTGTTTATATATTTAGTAAGTAAATAAATTTAAATTTCATTAAAAAATAATTTTTGATAGTTTGAAAGATTTATAAAATGTAAAAACTGGTATTTAACTCGCTTTTTGAAAATTTTTATGGCAACTTACTCTATTTAATAAAATATTTTTTCTTCAATATTTAAAAAGGTTAAATTAAATTTGTGATGAAAGTACATCAGGCTTATGTTCTGGTTTAGCTAATTGTATTAATCTCTAAAATTTGTCACTTGAACTTATGTAAAAAGAGTTTATTTGTTTTGGATTGTGATATTTTTAATTATAAAAACTAATTAAAAAAAATAAAGCTCTTTTTTCTTTTTCTTTTCATTGTGCTTGCTTTTTTTTGTTCTTTGTTTGTTAATTTATTTAGTTCATCCTTTTATTTTCAAATTTTTTACTTTTATTATTAATTTATTAATCTTACTATTTCATATTTTTTCTTCATTTTTTCATTCTAATTAACTATTTAATGATTTATTTTTTCTTCAATATTTAAAAAGTGGTAATTAAATTGGTGACAAAGGTGCATCAGGCTTAGGTTCTGGTTTAGCAAATTGCATTAATCTCTCAAATTTGGCACTTGACCTTAGGTAAAATCAGTTTATTTGTTTTGGATTGTGATA